TAGAAGCAGGGGAATTGGTCGTCCACTTAAACATGGGCAATGACTATATTATAGCTTTGGAAAAAGTGCAGAAAAGGGCAACTCGAATGATAAAAGGGTTGTAACACTTTCCCTATGAGGAAAGGTTAAAGTGCTTAGGGCTCTTTAGCTTGGAGAAACGACGACTGAGGGGTGACATGATCGAGGTTTATAAGATTATGCATTGGAAAGAGCAGGTAGAGAAAGGGGTACTCTTCTCCCTTTCTCACAATACAAGAACTCGTGGGCACTCCATGAAACTGCTGAGCGGTTGGGTTAGAACGGATAAAAGGAAGTACTTCTTCACCCAAAGAGTGATTAACACTTGGAATTCACTGCCACAGGAAGTGGTGGCGGCTACAAGCATGGACGGCTTCAAAAGGGAATTAGATAAGCATATGGAGCAGAGGTCCATCATTGGCTATTAGCCACAAGGCATAGATAGGGGCTCTGGGGCAAGTGATCTTGGTGCTTGGGGGGGGGGGTCAACAGTGGGAGGGCTTCTAATGTCCTGGACCCACTGGTGGACCTCCTGATGGCACTGGTATTTCTGGCCACTGTGTGACACAAAGTGTTGGATGGGATGGGCCTTTGGCCTGATCCAACTTTGGCGTCTCTTATGTTCTTAAGTGTCTGAAGGGCCCACTAATAAGAGCTACTGGAATTACAGCTCAGCTATAGCACACGGAACCTTTTGGGAATAGTTTTACTGCAAGTTCTGCCAATAATGTGTGTGTGTGTCAAGGGCTGTCAAGTCACTAATGACCTATGGCAACCCTATGAATTGATGTCTTCCGAAAAGTCCTATTGTTAACAGCCATTCTCATGTCTTGCAAGTAGAGGGCCCTGTCTTATGCTGATAATAATAGATGTTAAAAGGTACCTGTTTTCACAATGTTTTCTTAAGTGTCTTCAGAAACATTTAAGACAATCTTTCCCAGTCGGTATTTTGGATCTATATTTGTCACAATCAAAACACTGTTTATTGAGTTTAACAAATGCTTTTATAAAATCGTGAAATATTTGCACTTATGCACACGAGTGCGCTTTCCAGAAGTAACCAAACATCATTCAAAAATCGATGTAAACTTGCCGATATCTTACTCTTCCGCAGCATTCTGGAAAATTACACAGATTTTACACCTCACATTTTTGAACATGTGTACCACACTATACCCATAGCCATAAATAGATGAAGAAGTGCTTTTCCTTCAGCTGTCTCAGAGCAGGATTAATGTAAATGGAAGACATGAAGAAAAATATATCTAGAAAAAAACACTCATTTACTTCTTTTCTTGGCTGCTGTTTTCTTGCCTCCTTTTTTGGAGGAATTTCCGTACTTTGTTTCCATCTGAGCCAGAAAGTCATCCATTTCCTTTTTCCGATTCTCATTTTTTCTCTATCAAATTAACAAAAGAATGCTGATTAAGTTCTTGGGTATTTCAGTTGCTTCTATTATTTATTAAAGGATAAGACTCAAAACGGGATAATTCAGGAAACGGAACATAGTATTAGAATGCCTGTACAGAAGTGACTACAGAAACCAGGCCACTGGGAGGGTGAACATTGTTCCCAGTGAACTACAGATAAAGGCACTGTTTATGGGCTAGTGGAGGCCACAGTAGTAGGCTGAAAATAAAAACCTAGTGAATCTGCTCAAAAGCCCATTAGTTTATAGAGGACACCCCTCTCCATATATCACCCCCAAAATCATATGTGCGTACCACACAGCTTGGCCAGAAATGGAACCAAGATGGAGCTGGAGCAAACAAAATGGACGCTGGTCAGAGCCTAGCTTGGGAAACTATTTTGGAAAGGTGACTTGGCACATCTGTTTTTGCTAGTGGTTCTATCCCCACCTAAAAAGAGATACTTAATATCCACAATGGGCTATTTCAGTCTTTCCCCAACACATTGTTTTACCTCCACTTAATCTCATCAGTTTGAGGGGGCAGTCGCACCAACATGCCCTTAGGTAGCATTTTGCCCTATAATTGGACACACAGCCCCATTGTGTGTGTGTGTGTGTTTAGTACCATACCTCACACCCAGAGTGCTGGTCATTTCATTATATTCTCCATCTTCTGGATTGCTATACTTCCCCTGAAACCCCCTTCTATATTCCTGCTCCTTCCTGTATTTCCATTAGGTTGAGTATGTGTTTTTCAGAGTGCATTTATTTCTGTATGCATGTTATTTTATTATTTCCTCTTTCAATAAAAAAGACCCTTTCTTGGTTAAGCTACAGCCTAGTTTATTTCTGAGTTTCTCTAAGGGAAAAATTCCCATAAATTTTGGTGGAGATCTCTGCAGTTATCCTCCTCTCACTACACAAAAGGTCGTCTTAAGAGCCAAATTCCCACAAATAATTGAGAGAGCTTCCCTTTGGGTAACACCATCTCTGTCAGCATTGTTTTCACAAGGCCAGTCAGTTATTTCCAGAAACATCAAAAGCAAGGCATAAGGGCAACAGTTCTCTCACATGCACTTGCCACCTACAGTACCCGAACATGGAGCGTTTGTTTCGTGCTATGGACACAAACTTACCTGAATTAATGCTCTGACATCATCATCTTTATCAAGACCTAGTTCTTCTCTGGCTTTTTCTGCCTCTTTAGCCTCTTTTTCAGCCTGAAACAGGAACACAGTTGACTGTTAACTTTCTTCCTTATTCATCAAGTGTTGCAGAAATTAACCCTGTATTGTTAGATCTAGAAAGAAAAGGTAGGTACCTGCCCTCCAAAATACCGAGAGACTTGAGAGAATTTCTCCTGTTTGTTATTTTGCCTTTTTCATATTTCATATTAATATTTTAAATTGTAAGCTACCTTGATTTCCTTGGTAGACAGGCAGTACACAAAAGCAGCACATAAAAATCTGCCAGTACAATAAAATGCTTGAATATAGGAAACTGCTGTGCTTGAGTACCATTAGAAAACATTGCAAACAAATTCCACTGGAGAGAAAAATCTGCCATTTTTCTTCTGCACTGCATCAACATTCACCTTCACATCAAATGACAATCACATAATGTTACAAACATTCCATAGACAAGCTGATAACACAGAATTCCAAAATATATTCATTTTAGACCTAGAATTGCTGGCATGCATATCAAAATCCACCCATCATCATTCTGTTTAATCAGGATATTCAGAATGTGGTGGGTTTGCTTGGTGACACACAAGAAATAAAATATAAATGTATATTTACCACAGAATCTTGTTTTTCTTAATATCTCAACTCTAGAGGGTGTTACATTTGAAAAGAGCTGACAGGTGAAATATGAAATACAGAACATTAAGACTAGGAAACATTCAGAATTTTATTTAGTGGCAAATGGTACACATTTGTTCATTGAACTTTGTTATCGTCAAACATACCCTCCTTTTTCTTGCATTCATCTTTTGCTTAGACTCTTTGGCAAAGGCTTTGTAGAATGGAAGTTCTCCCAAATCAATGGCTTGTTGGATAATTGTCCTTATTCTTGGTTCATCTGTATAATCTGCACACAATACTTTATCCATAATTTGGTCCATATCACCTTTACAGTTCTTATATGCTGTTTTAATGTCCTCCAACTCTTCTGTAGAATCAGTGTAATTCTTCTTAAAATCTTTAATATCTTTTAAAGTTACCTGATTTTCAACAAAGACAGAGAAAATGCTTTGAATGTCAAAATCCTCAATACCAAACTCAGACTATATATATATGTTTTCCATCACAAGATTGTTGTTATTTAAACAAGTTTACTTTTGAGATCAACTGCATGAAACTCGACCAATTCCTATGAAGAACAAAGAACCTGTTCCTTATGTAAAGTCAGGCAGAGGAGGAAGGAACAAGGCTCACATGTTACTTCCATCTCTTCATATTTAGACATAAAGTGTCAAACACGTTTCATCAAGTAACAAAGAATTTATCAAAGACACTGGATTTTTTTAACTGAGAAAAGACATGTGTAGGATTTGTGTATTACAGACGCATACATACACTAAACAATCATCTTTAGCTGCTGCATCACTCATCTGCAAACAAAAATGGAGGGAGGGAGTATCCTACCCTCCCATTTGAGAAAATGCTGTTCCCCCCGTCAAGCTCGGGCCTCGCTTGTCATAGAATGTTGTCTAGCCAAACTCAGGCTCTGTTGCATTAGGCCGGAGTTAACTACTTTCTCAGAAGTGCGCATTCCACTGTTTTCGTCTACATGCTGTTTATCTTCTTTGCTAGGAAAGGGGGGAGTGGACGTGTGTGTGAATGTCTGCTTAAGCTTGAATAATGCCAGCTTGGAGCAGTCTGCAAGACCCTGGGAAATGTATGATCTCAGCATCCACCATGACCTTGTAACGCAGGGAGCTTCTAGATAATGTAACCATTAGTTGCAGGTGCTGGGGGCTTGGATCTTTGGCGGACTGAATGAGAATATTGATTGGTTGGTTGGTTGGCATAGGGGGGATGTCCTGCTTGTAGTATAGGGTTGGCATCGGATGTCAGTTCCGACAAAATCTGTCTATGCTTGGAATCTCTCTTCCTCTCAATAAAGAAATCTTGCTGCTACAAAAGTGATGCAGGAGTGATTGTATCTAGGACTCGACACCCCCAAAACCTGTAAAGCTGTGGTTCTGAAATGTTTTGAAGCAGGGCCCACTTGTAATTTGACTCCATGCTCATTTCCCCCTCCAATGTAACACATGAGTATTAGTTAGCACTGATCAAGTTTGTATTATATGCTTCATATTTAAAATGTATACACATCATTGCTGAATAACAAGCTGTATTGGCCATTTTGCATATTATGTGCAAGGAAGCCAGAATTTGCCATCCAGCCTCATGGTGTTCCTCTTCCTCCCAACCTGGTTTTCGCAACCCACTTGTTGCAAGAGAGTCACAACCCACTTTGGGGTCCCTGTCAACAATCTGAGAACTACTGCTCCAGGGTGATTTTATCCCTCCGCAGAGAAAGCCCTCTACAGCTTCACCAGCTTGAGGGAGACTGCTTACTTCTTTGAAGATCAGTTTCCAGTACTCTTCCCAGTTGCGGTCCTGGCTCAGCACAGTCGACTCCTCGTCTACAATGCCCTGCTGGTCATACAGAGTTCGCTGCTCTTGGTCACTCAGCACTGCATACACCTTGCCCAAGATCTGAGGAGACAAGCCAAGCCATCTCAACAGTCCAATAAGGAAAAGCAGCCTGTCCATCGGGCCGGATCTTCATGTACAGCAGAATGAAGTAGTATGGGGACAAGGCAGTAGAGTCATCATAATGCAGCTGTTCAGACTGCAGTGGGGGAGGCATGATACTACTAATTCTCTAAAACTTAGAAAACAGCACAGCATGTGAAGTGCTAGCCAGAATCTTTCTCTAGGAAATGCTATTTCTTTTATTTTGCATGAGGGGAGCATTAACATTGGGGAGACAAGCAGTGTTCCCTCTAAGCTGAGTTAGTGTGAGCTAGCCACAGTTTCTTAACCTCCGGCTCATGGATTTTCGCCGTAGCTCAGGAAGGGATGGCTCCAGAGCAAACTGATTTATGCAGTAGCCACATCGCTCACTCAGAACTTTAATGTCAGTCACTCACAAAGTAGAATTTTTGCTCACAAGACTCCACAGCTTAGAGGAAATGAAGTGATTTAGACTCAATTTTATTTACTTAATTTATACTCCACTTTTCTCCCTCACGGGGACCCAAAGTGGCTTACAACATTCTCCAGTTTCTTCCCCAACAACCACCACATGAGGTAGGTTAGGGTGAGAGTGAGTGACTGGCCCAAGGTCAACCAGCAAGCTTCCATGGCAGAGTGGGTTTTTGAACCTTCCAAATCTTAGTCCAGCACTCTAATTGGTGCTTAATGCATTTCTTAAAACAATAAAGCTTAGTCACAGATTAACCATAAAAAGTGCTAATTGACAACTCGACAGAACATTAATATCATCTAGTGGCATATACTTTTTGTATCTAACCAACATATTTACTAATTTTAGAAGACACTACATGGCACATTGTTTATAAGTCTGCACATACAGGTCAAGTTATACTGCAATAGGAAAAATCACACACACACACAAATCAAATTTTGTTTCACTTCAGCATCTTCTCCTGCATTGTGCCTCTCTTACACCATCCACGCCCCCAGAAATACCAACAGGTGAACATTATGGCTTATTACAGCCCATGTGTCACTGCCTGTTTATACACAACACAAACACTGCAGTCCTATGCAGAATTACTCCAGGCTGGAGCAATTATGCATAGGACTGCACTGAAAGGCCAGACCAGTCTAAATGGGTAGATGAGTCTACTTTCTTAAGATGTAAAGGGAATCTCCATACGTTTGAGAATTAGGCAGTTAACAGCACAGAGTTGTCGTGGCAGAGCATAGGGAGAGAGGTGCTCTCATAAATAAGAGGGGCCAAGATCATGAAGGGCTGTATATGTGACAGCCAATACCTTAAACAGAGCTCGGTAACAAATAGGTAAATAGGAGTGTCCATCCACCTCCCACTAACAGTCGAGCCGTGGCATTCTGATCCAGCTGAAGTTTCTGAGTTGATTTTGAAGGGGGACCAACGTACGGTGCATTACAGTAGTCTAGTCCCGATGTGACTGAGGGGTGGATCCAAGTGGCCACTTCAGGTGTGTCAAGGTGCGGGGCCATTTTACGAGCTAGGCTGAGTTGGAAGAAAGCTTTTGTGCAGCTGCCTTAACTTGCGTCTCCAGTAGTAAACCTGGACCCAGTACAACCCCCCCCCCAGCCCCGCCCCCGGCCTTTGCACGGAGTCCGCAAGGGTCAGCTGAACTCCATCGAAAGTGGGGAGAGCAGCGTCCCCAGGAAGAAAGAGAAAAAGAACAAAAAACCCTTCCCAACCAGCACCACCTCTTGTCTTTTCAGGGCTTAGCACCAAGGAATTTAGCAGCGTTCACTGGAGAAGGGGAGGTGGCCCCGCCGCTCTCTTACCTGGAAGTGCCGGGTGGCTTTCTCCTTGTCCGGCAGGTCGGCGCGGTCCGGGTGCACCCGCAGGGAGGCCTTGCGGTAGCCACGGCGGATCTCCTCTGCCGAAGCGCTGCACGGCACGCCCAGCACCTGGTACAAGTCGCCGGCGGCAAAGGCCTCCCGACACTGCTCCAGCAGCCCCATCGCCCAGCTGCTGTTGCGCCTCCACGCTCAGCCGCCCGCTGCTTTCCCGCCAGACGCGCCTCCGGCGCCTGCAAATGTCGCAAAGGGGACTCACCATAGAGCTGGGGAAGGCTAGAGTGGCACACAGCGTTCAAGTTTCTGTCAGCAACCCCGGAAACGGCCGAAAGGAGGGAGTGTGGCGCCTCAGGAAAGACCCTCCCCGCCACAGATTATGTTAATCTCTTGAAGGTCCTGCTGGACTCTTGGCCTTTTCTACGGCCGCAGACAGACACGGCGACCTATCTCGACACAGTCACCAGAAAGAAAAACGACAAAAATCCTTGACGGGCGGAGTTGCCTTGTAGGCTGGGGCTATCTTGACACTGGCCATAGACTGGCGATGTGCAAAAGGTTGCTTTAGAGAAGAGAGGCTCACCACTCTTCCCACACAAAATCCCTTCTCTCTTTGTGGGGGGGACGAGCGGACCCCTGAGCCCGCAGTCCGACGCACTCCAGGGTGGACAGTTCAGTTGACACCAAGGAAGACCATGGAGGGGGGGGGGGGGATCCCGGAAGCTGCGATTCAAAATGTGCTTACTTGGGAAGGGAGCCCCCCTACCCTACCCTGCCCCCGCCAACCAAAAAGCAAACAGGAGCCTTGTGTGATTTGGCTCCAGTGAAAGTGGCTCTAGAGACCGCTTCTTCAGATGGGAAGCAGTGATCACTAGGCAGGCAGAGCCCAACTGTGTCTGAGTGTTGGTCTAGGATGCCCTCTTGCTGGCTGGCTTTGGGCCAGTCACTGTCTCTCAACCAAACTACCTCACAGTGTTGTTGAGAGAACACAGTGGAAAAGGGTGGAATCAGGTGTGAGCTTCTTGGAGGAAGGACAGGATGCAAATGTATTAAATGTGATGGTATGGAAACAAACGGCACATAAGGACCAAGGGGCCATGAAATTGAGAAAGTATAACAGAAAAGGTAATTATTTACAATCAGGGAAAATACAGAGAGCAGTCGTTATTTATGCTAAGCTAGTTCATACATGTAATGTGGGGAATCTTAGATTTTCATAAGATGGTCACAGTTTTAGTGAGATAAGAATCCTAAATCTCAGGTTCAGGTGGGGGGAGGAGATATGGTGATGCCTTGAATAAACTCTTCACACCTGAGGGGTGCCCAACAAGCTGTCGTGGGGTTGTTCTGGGGAGCCTGTCAGAAGTCTTGTCATGTCTGCCTTTCTGTCTTAGATAAGTGGCCTTTTTAAGCAATCTATGCTGTAAACTGAAAGAAAGGCCTGTTCCTTCTCTCAAGGTTCACCCTGCCCAAGAACTGCTCTGAGGTTTCCAAGTAAGGCCTCTGGTGAACCTCATGCTCAGGCACAAATAAGGGTGGTGTTAACTTACATTTTCTGCTCTGAAATGGTTTGTAGATATTTAACTTGATATTTTGGTTTTATGAAGTTTCTACTTGCATAGAGTAGAGGGAAGGAAAACGAAAAGTTCTGTTTTCAGACTTGGATATAATAATGAAGAAATTTCAAGAGTTTTGTACAAGTCACTACCTTTTTATTTGTAGTATGCAATATAAATAATATGCACTGCTGGTAGAGACGTACAAAAATGTAAATAAAAGCAATTCAAAAATCTGTATTCAGTAGTTGTTAATTACAAGACTGAAATTAGCAAATATACATGCTTTCTCCAGTGGCTACACATTATTTACATGCGAAATATCTTTGAAGCCCACAACCAAAGCACTTCCTAATAAACAAAAAATGGTGATTTTATACAAAGCAGTTTTAATTTGTAAAAGAATGCTTATTTACATATTTAAACAAGCATCTCTTCTCTCATGATCTATCACCGCTTAAATTCTCACAGCTTGATTTATCCTAATGGATCGTTTCCAGAAATTTAAAACCTCGTCATTCTGAGTTTCTTTTTCTCAAGCATACAATCTCATCTCACCTCCTTTTCAGCTAAACATAATTTCTGAATGCATTAATTTCTGAATGCATTAATGACTGCACCCAGGAATGACACAATATAATTTACTTAATATTTTATTCTTCAGATTTCTTCACATTGGGTGCTGATGAGGCCCTCTTGCTTCCCAACGGCTTCTCTAAAGTTATGGACCGTTTTTTTGAAGTTGCCTTTCTTACAGTTTTCTTTTCTTTTGAGATTTTCCTTCTGTTTTTATAACGTATAAGATCTTCATGGCCAATTTCTGCCATATGCTCCTCCCACGACTTCATTTCATTTTCATACCGGATCTTATCATCTTCAGCAAGCTGATAGTACATCTAAGAAGTAATACTCGGTAAGTTTTACACAAGGAGAAGCAGATTGTACGATAAGACGTTTAAAGGCACCAGAAACTGCCGGAATATTTTACCAATATCTGAGGCATTTACCTCACAGAACTAAAGGTATTCTGGAAGTACCTTGGTGCTCTCCATACATGTAGGAAATGTTTATGTGCATTTGTTTCTCTAAAGGTGCATGTTCAGCAGAACTTCAGAAACTGCTTGGTGAACCCAATATTTGCCATGTAATGCAAACATGCATATTCTTTCCTTCATGACAAGTGCATATCCCTTAAGGTACATCTGTTAAGGTGTATACCTTAAAGTGATGCTGGAGCAGTTCTTCAAGACAAGTTCTCATAATTTTTTCAGGAACACAGGAAAAGTGTTCTAAACTTTTAAAAGCCTGCTCACCCAAAGATCTGATAGTAAAATAAAAGAATTTGAATTTTTTTCAGCCATACCTAATACTTAAGATATATTCAAGATATTGTTTCGTTTTTTAAAAACAGTATCAATATGAAAAAGTAAATACATTTTAACATGCATGTGGAGGACTACCTGAGGCAAATCTTTTTTTCCTTTTTGTTTCTTGTTGGAAGTAGAAAATCTCAGAACAAATTGGCTACATCGAGTCTCTCAACACAAATGAGAATATTGGTACCTTAACTACACGTACCGACAAGTACAAATCACTATGTTTAAATCCCTCAACCAAATTTTTAAAAGAGAAGGAAAGCTTCATAATAATTGTCCTCACCAATAGTTAACTGCAACTTCAATGCAAGAGGTGAGACTGAAGTTCAACTTCCCATGTGTTAGTGGTGAGCTTCTGCCCGTGCACAGGGAGGGGCAAAATTTCTTCAGACAGAATCTATATATGTTTTATGGGGTACCAACTCTGGAGGGCCCCAACTGTTGGAAAGGGAAAAACCTTTGTTGTAGCTGTCTGCGTGGAAACTTAAAAGACTCCATGTACAAGTGAAGAGCCACTCGTGTTGGTTTGGATCTCAGCCAGTACATGGATAACAGGCAAAAAGCATGAATTTTTGCTATGACACATCCTTGTATTTTAGAATAGTTTGAAAAGTTAAATATCTCTTCAAGTGTTCAGTTCGCACCTAGAAAGCTATTAGCATTGTCAAGGCCTACAGAAACTGAAATTGCTCAAAGAAAACCTGCTGTTGAGTGCACAGGGAAGCTACAGCAAGTGAACTGACAAAATTTTGCTGCTAGATACAAAAAGCAAATATTGAGCTTTTAAGATAATCATAAGGGAGGAAGTACCTTTTAAGACATAGGAGGGGTTTGCAAATTACTACCCAGAAGTACGATTTTCAAGCAGCCAAGCATATTTGAATACTTTCCCATGAGCATGAGTTCTGTCAATTACTGCTGCAAAAAACTTCAGCAACAAAACTTAAACATGACAATATCCAGTCACTAAACTTCAAAGACAGTTTTATGACAATACCTGCTTTTGAGAACTAGCTAATTTTTGCCATTCTTCAAATAGATTTTTCATCTTTCCCTGTGAGAGAGAAAAATACACAAAAACATCTGTAGATCTATGGAAGAAATCTTTCTCTACCCATACATAATTTGTTCTATACGTATTCAAAATACAAGGTATAAAGAGACTGTCAGGTTACACGGTGACATACAGCCAGTACCAGGTAAGGATAACATCTCATTGATAATGCTTTGGGTTCAATGGAGTACATGCACAAAAGCATTCATGATGCAGTCCCCGTCCCCAACTCCCAGCAACCCCAACACCTCAAAAGTTCTAATGCTGGATGCTGAAGGACGCACATGGATAAAACTCCACATGGTCGGGGATGGTGGTGGTGGACTGCAGTGAGGAGAGGAACCAGGCAAAACTGGCTTCTCCTTCCTTCTGCATCAACAGTACTTCCACTAATGCAATCAATTCCACCTGGTGCTCCTGGCTGCATGGTCTCTGCAGATCTTATAGGACCAGGACTGGCATTTTAAAGGTCTTGGGCTAATGCAGGAAGGGGTAAAGGTGAAAAACCATGCAAACTCTACAATGCAAACCATCATCTGTGAGGCAGTCGCAAACAGATGAAGAGAGGCTTTTGTGCTGACCATTCCTCCATCATGGAGCTCACTCTCCCAGAAATCTGCCAACTTATTTATTTATTTTTCATATTTGTATCCCGCCCATCCCATAAGCAGGCTCAGGGCGGGTCACATCATCTCACCTAAACACTATTCGGAAGCATCAAATGATCAATTTTGGCTAGTTTTGAATGGCTCGGGGACAGAATGTTTATAACCAGGTTGCCGACCATTCCAAGTCTTCCTTTAAAGAAAAGAAAGGCAATTACAGGGGCCATGTGATTAAAGAAGGTAACTTTCCAGCCCTTCTAGTTCCAAAGATATATTTAAAAGAAATGGCAAAAGCATTATTTCCATTGCCAAACAAGTTGTTCGGTTAAGATCACTAACTTTAGGCATTAGGATTAGTGGAGATGTGTATGACCAAATTTGGAATTATGGGAGCAGCAAAATAAAGTATCCATTGTCAGAAAATAAATTATCAAAACATAATTAAACATAAGAACATAAGAGATGCCAATGTTGGGTCAGGCCAAAGGCCCATCCAGTCCAACACTCTGTATCACACAGTGGCCAGAAATACCAGTGCCATCAGGAGGTCCACCAGTGGGGCCAGGACATTAGAAGCCCTCCTACTGTTGACCCCCCCAAGCACCAAGACAGAGCATCACTTGCCCCAGAGTCCCTATCTATACCTTGTGGCTAATAGCCACTGATGGACCTCTGCTCCATATGCTTATCTAATTCCCTTTTGAAGCCGTCCATGCTTGTAGCCGCCACCACTTCCTGTGGCAGTGAATTCCAAGTGTTAATCACTCTTTGGGTGAAGTACTTCCTTTTATCCGTTCTAACCTGACCGCTCAGCAATTTCATGGAGTGCCCACGAGTTCTTGTATTGTGACATCATAAGGAAGAGTCATTTCTTGACATCTCTTACATTTTAGGGTGTTGACAGGCACATAATCTACCTTCAGAAAGAGGTGTAATGCTTTCACATACATTAAACAAGGAGAGATTATCTCAGTGTTTGTGGCTGGCATTAAACCACGACACAACTGTCTGTTTGACAGGTCTATTATACATGAGTGCACAGGTACAAAATTGCTATCTTCATGACCCAAGATTATGCATCAAAGATTATGCAATCTGACATGTTATTTAGCTGTCATTAAAGAAAAATATGCACAAACCTGGTTTGTTACCAGACTTGCACTCACTCTTCCCCTCCCCATTTCTTGCATTGAGAATCATAGTTAGAAACTGTGGGGTCTGAACAGAAAATCCTGCGAGGCACACCCGGGGTCAAAGTTCAGACTTCCCAGGTCAAAATTTGAGTTCCCACAGAGAAATTCTCTTGCCGGGAGATTGGCTTGGCAATGTGCACAGAGTTTTTCTGATTCTGCATAAGACTGCAAAATTACTTTAAGACAGAGCACAAGCTTTGCAACATTCAAGGATAAATCTTGCCTATGAGAAAGGAACATTCTGTGAAATACACTGTGCTGTTTAGCTTACAAAGTCTTTTGCTCTGTTGTAACGAATTTCACTGTGCCTTGTGAGAGCTGCTTGATTCTAATAAAAACGCTGCTGTGACACAGCCTGTCAGATGAACAGGGAGCTTGGTACAGAGAGACAGACAGAACTGATGAGCAGCTTCAAGAAATCTCTTGTGTGGTGTCGTGATTTGAACCCCAGCAAAAGTCAACAAAAAACTAACTCCCATTAGCTGTGACATATGAAATCAGGAAAGAAGTTTTATAGCAATCTGCCCCCCTCAGCAAACTGGAATTCATAGGGTTAAGATCCTACAGAGCCGTTCCACACATGGCAGGACTCCCATCAGCAGAATGTGACTTCCTTGCCTCCCCCTTTTGCTGCCCCTCTCTGAAATGCAGTTTCTGGGGACCCTTCCATCAGTGAAAGAGCTCCATGGTATCCAAGCCTAAACCTCAATTCAACACTGCTCAGGGTCCCAGCTACTGGGGAAGGAAACAAACTAACCTTTGGTCAGAGGAGCGTAATAATAAAAATGAAAGGGGAACTAACTCTGGTTAATCTCATGCATCTATATTTGTATGTCATAGGTAATTCAAGTTGGCTTCTAAAAACGACTCTCTGCACAAGCAGCTTTGAGTGAGGGAGCAAGCAAGAACGTAGCAACTATCTGGGTTTATGCACATTTTTATTTAAGTGTAGTTAAGATGGACTACTGAGTGCAGCCTAAGCCTTTTCAGATACTCACAACCTAATACACGTATACAGACCCTGATCTAGCAAACTGTTAAAATTAGTGGGCATCAATGCTGGCTGAAACAGGCAAAGATCTACAGCTGCAAGCTATTCGACAGCAAGAAAACCCGGACAGTCCTCACACCATCAAGCTACTGTGGGACACAGTGTTTTCTACTGTCTAAGTACCTTAAAATTGTTATAAAAGCATGTAATTTTCATTTTTATTCTCAATACAGATATAATTTTGTTATTAGAACAGCAGCTCTGCTCATTTACCTGAATTGAGACTCCTTTAGCTTCTTGGAAATGTTCAGACACAAAAATATTGAAGGCAGTTCGAGATCTTTTAGGTTTTCCAAGCACTGTTGATTGCTAAAAAAAGAGAGGACACCTTTAAGTAGCTCTCTCTAACCCTAACCCTACTGCATCATGGATGCTGCTCTAGAGTTCCCCTGACCCAGGGGCAGGGAAGGGCTTTTGTGTTAATTTTAACTTTAGTTTTCTACATCAAGATCCAATCAAAGCAGTGTAACATCTTTACTAATAATGGTGAATGCATTACGTTCCTCTACTCTGTTCTCTCTTCCACCCCCCCCCCCCCCCCCCCCCCGCCCCGAAATTTCCCTGTTAAGGAAGATTGTCTACCATGATAACTTAACATTTCTGAGACTTTGAAATATTTACATTGTCAGACCAATATTAAAGGATCCAGCAAATATGGAAATATAACAAACTGCCAACAGGAGAGGGATATTGCAAAGCCCCCCCCCCATCTGCCCCAAATATGTGCTTTGGATCTTGAACAGTGCTTTTCAGTTACACCAATTTCTCAGGTAAGAACACTAAGACATCACATTAAAAACGTCCCCCAAAATAATCCGTTCTCAAAATAAAATGATTGATTTTAAAACTGGCTAAATTAGAGAACCATTGCTATTTCTGTATGTAGGGCAGGAATTATATTGTCCTTTTAGACTGTAATATAGAGGGAGTCGCATACAACTATCACAGTTCTTTCTGTTCACCCCTTAAAGGCAAGGTAACAGAAAGCGTGCATAAGCACAAATGCTGCAGATCTGCACCAAGTTTACCTAGCTGGGAACAACAGTGCAGGAAACCCAACTGCCAGTTCAAGGTTTAAAAGATTCCATGCAGAGATTTAAGATTATTAATCCAGCACAAGGGGCAGGCAATGAAGGAGCAGCCTCTGGAGTTTGCTCCTCAGCTGCTTTCCAGCTTGCCTGCAATCCTGGCATAGTATGACTGAATAGACACAACGGTGAGGGGCTACACTCCAAAAACAGTTCTAGTAGTTTTGTATGGATGACATGACAAGCTTTCAATAGTTCCAAAACTGAAAATTAATGATACAACTGGGAACTAGTGGCAACCTTATGTGGAAGTTCTTTTGATACCACCAGGAGAGGAAGAGGAAGGCAGGAGAAGAAAGTGCTTGGCACCAGTGGTGTTAGGGCTGAAATGGCACCCAGTCAGCTGCGGACTCCCTCCAAACCTGAACACTGCTTATGCTCAACAGCTCCAAGATCAATTGAGAGTTTGTGGGGTGGTGGAGGAACTGCCCTTGTTCCCTTCCCAGCCCAAACATGACCAGTTGTCAGCACCTACTGTTTCTAGTCACTTTACTCTTTCCTTCCTGGCAGCAAGGAGGCAGTGGCGCTGGGTAGTGGTGGCAGCCCAAACATTGCTGCCACTCAGCACCGACCTTTGCCAGCCACCTTCTTCTCTTCCCTGCCAGCAGTCCCCCAACCCAAAGCATCTTGCTTGGCAACGGCAAAGAAGACAGCTGAGAGATTTCATGACATGTCGCCTTAAGACCCCCACACACACTTTTTTCTTTCAAGTTTTACAATTTTTAAATGCAACCTTATTTTTCCCACCAGTTTTTACAGTCTTCTGCAAACCCAGAGGCTGCACCAGAATTTAGAAAAAAATTCCTCCTATATGAACATGGTCTTATTGTGCAGGTTTTTTGACTCACATTCTAGGGGAATTGGTCAGAATTAGATATATTAATGCATTTTTTATCTATCAGATTTGTTTCTTAAATCGAAAAAACAGATTAGGAATGTTCTTATTTTATAATGCAATCCTTAGAAGAGCTATGGGCTTAGACTGGAGTAATTCTGCACAGGACTACACTGTTATACTATTTCCAACAAACATCATTTCTAATCTGCCATTCGTATGTAAGCCTTACAATGAAGCTATTTATTGAACTTTTTAGAAGTTAATGGTTGGATCCCAAGAACCAGAAGCAGAGCTCCATTAACAGAATTTTCCTGCCTCCCCGTGAGCTATTCAAAATGCTGTTCCTGGGAGACGGGGCATGGAGAGTAAATTGGAGGTCTACAATGAGAGAAAGGAACCAGTGAAAGCTGCTTTTTCCTTCTGCTGGCTGATGCTCCTTATTTCAGCAGAAATGAAGTTTGGATCCAACCCTATATGACTCTACAGCTCCTAATATCTAAAGCATAACAGCTCAAAGCTGATTCCCACAACAGATGTTATATTTTGATCCAAATACTAGGGTTCAAAATATATGCTGTGTGTCAAGTATGACTGTTATATTCATGTATAATCTGTTGCTTTTCCCTTCAATATACTCAAACAGCAACCAGAAAGGTTATTTTGATAAGCTGGGTATAATACAAAGATCATGCATACTTTGTAACTGATGCAAGATTTTTTTTGTATTTAGATATTGAAACTCTAATACAAGACTTAATAGAAGTATATTTCATTCACTGTAATAATGAAAAGTTTACTACATTTTAAATACTAACCCTTTTTTTTCTTGCTGCTTTTCTTTTTGCAGCTTTTCTTCTCTTTTCTTCTTTCAAAACTTCCTCCTGGGCAGGGGTTAACTGGGCTTTGTATTTGGCCATTTGTTCTTTGTAAGCCTGCCTTTCAAGCGTTGCAGCTGTTTCATAAGGCTAGAAACAAAAATATCCATGATCTTACCATGATTCATTTTTTGCGGGGGGGAGGGGAGAGTGATGGGACGGACGGATGACCCAAACGCCTGTTTAAATTAACATGTAAGTTTAAACATTAAGCAGGTGACAAAACATTCATAATTAAAGCAATTTTGAACTATACAGTACAGTATTAGTAACTGGTTTTTACTAACGTTAAGTGAAAACACTCATTTTATCAGCCCTGTAATACAATTTACTTCCATAGTTAAAAATTAATCGGTGTCTTAAATATATGGCTGGACCATGTCAACTGAAATTATTTTTCTCTTTTTTGTTTGATAATTTCAGTAATTTCTAATTTGGCGGGAACTAGTACTTGATCCTACGGCATGTACATTATGGGGTGCTGCAAGGATCCATCTCGTCTCCCATGCTATTTAACATCTACAAAAAGCTGCTGGGAGGGATTGTCGGGGGATCTGGAGTTCAGGTGCCCACAATATACAGATGATACCCCAGTCTATTTCTCCTTAACAGCTGAAATGGGTAGGTCTGTGGAAGTCATGACAAGTACTTGAGGAAAGTAAACAAATGTATCAAGGTCAATAAACTCAAGTTCAATCCAGACAAGTCAGAAGTCATCTTGGCCAACTCCAAAGCCACTTGGGGACTGAGGAGTCAATCTGTCCTGGAGGGAACTGCACTCCTCCTGAAGGAGCAGGTTCGTAGTTTGAAGATCCTGTCCTAAGGCTGGAGGCTAATGTCGCCTTCACAAAACACCTTTTACCATCTTAAGCTGATACACCAGCTATGACTTAACTCAAAAAGCATGATTTGGCCAGAAATTCATACTCTGATCACATTCAGGTTAGAATACCATAATATACTTTAGGCGGGGCTGTCCTTTGGAAACTTCATTTGTTCCAAAATGCAGCAGCCCAAGTTACTGTCAGGGGCTGAACACAGTGATTGTATCACCCATGTGCTGATAGATCTGCACAGGGTGCCCCTCTGTTTCCACACACAAAGTGCTGGTTCTTATCTTTAAGGCCTTAAATGATTTGTGGCTACAGTACTTTCAGGACCAACTCTTCCTGTACTGTCCAGCCCGTTAGTTAAGATCCTTCTCACAAGCCCTGCTCTGTATGCCTTCACTTGCAAAGATGAGGAGGGTGGCAACAAGAAACAATGTCTTTTCAGTACTGGCACCTCATCAGGAAATGCGCTTCCCCTTGAGGTTCATACGCTGCCTAAACAGCTCTCTTTCAGGCACCAGGCCAAAACTTTTTTTACACAGTCTGCACTGATCTTTTAAAACTGTTTTTACATTCTTGCTTCTAGTCTAAGGACTATTCCATGTTTTTATGCTCTGGTTGAGTTTGTAGTAATATTATGTTTTTATCATGTTATATTTATTTATTGGGATTTATTTATGGCTATGGCATAAGTTGATGCAGTGTATAATTTAAGTGGGTTTGTGCAGGGGAGAACGATAGAATCAGACATCTGCCACCTCAACCAAAGGCCTGGCAGAACAGCTCCGCTTTACAGTCCCTGCTGAATTGTAATAAGTCCCGCAGGGCCCTGATCTCAACGGGAAGTGTGTTCTACCAGGCCGGAGCCAGAGCTGAAAAAGCTCCGGCTCTGGTCGAGGCTAAACAGATGTATTTTACGCCGGGGAGTACCAGGAGATGTTGTTCCAATGAGTGTAGGGCTCTCCGGGGGACATATGAGGAGAGGTGGTCATGAAGATATCCTGGACCCTGACTGCATAGGGCCTTAAAGGTTAGTACCACAATCTTGAGCCTGATCTGGTACTCAACTGGTAGCCAGTGCAAATGTTGCAGCACCGGCTGACTTGCACAGACATCCCAGTCAGTAGGCATGCTGCTGCATTCTGTACCAGCGGCAATTTCCGGGTCAAGTTCAAGGTCAGCCTTGTGTAGAGTGAGTTACAGTAGTCTAACCTGGAAGTGACCATTGCATGGATCACCGTAGCGAAGTTGTGGAAGGAGAGATAGGGAACCAGTTGCCTGACCAGCTGAAGATGGTAAAAGGCCGATCTGGCAACAGTTGTGATCTGGGCCTCCATAGACAGTGAAGCATCCAGAACCACTCCTAATCCCTTCGCCACTGGTGTCGGCATCAATGACACCCCACCAAGACTTGGGAGACAGATTTCTGACGCCAGCCCACTGTGTGACTCAGGCACAGGACTTCCATCTTCGATGGATTTAATTTCAGTCAGCTCTGCTGTAACCAACCAGCCACAGCCTCCAGTGCCCTAGCCAAAGTACCTGGGGTGGAGTCCATCTGTCCATCAACAGATACAACTGGGTGTCATCAGTGTACTGGTGACAACCCAGTCCAAATTCCTGGATTAACTGGGCAAGGGGGCACATATAGATGTCAAACAACATCGGGGAGAGGATCACCCCCCGGGGGATGCCGCATACCAAAGGGTAACACAGAGAAACCTTCTCCCCAAGCGCCACTCTCTGTCCCCAACCATGGAGAAAGGAAACCAGCCATTGCAAGGCTGCCTCTATATCCCCACGTCAGCAGGGTGGTGGGTCATAAGAATGTAAATGACCAGGTCAAACACTGCTGTTAGGTCAAGCACCCGTGAAGCTGACCAGTGTCGTCTTTGGCCCATAGCCAGGGCAGAAAATGGACTGGAAGGGATCCAGAACAGAGTCATCATCCAGGAAAACTTGGACCTGTTCTGCTACTGCCCTCTTAACTTCCTTGCCTGGGAATGGAAGATCTGACACTGAACAGTAGATGGCTGGAACCAAAAGGTCCAGAGATGTTGTTTTCAAGAGCGGTCTCACCACTGCCTCCTTTAAAGCCCCTGGGAAGGTCCCTGAAGTCAGAGATAGGTTGTCAATCTCTCCTGGGTGACCTGCATTTCGTCATTGCCAGCTTTTACCAGCCATGATGCCTACGGGTCAAGAAGGCAAGTGGTGGGCTAGCTGTCAAGACCCTGTTGACCTCCTCCGGAGTTGACTGAACTAGTCCAAAATTTGACCTAAGACAGCCAAGGGGCCTCTAGTTCACGTACTGTATCAACTGTGGCCAGCAAATCTTGGCAGAGTGACAAGATTTTATCTGCAAACTGGCTCGTGAAGGCTTCACAGCTAATAGCCAATTTCTTATCCTTTTGGTTTCCCTGTGGAAGGAAAGTTAAATGACCTGGTTACTCAAAATAACTGAGATGGGTGAGAGCTTGCGGACGCAATGGAAGTTGCATAGAAATCCTTCTTTGCGGCTTTCATTGACATCTCATAGGCTTTCATAAATGACCTATTGGATGTCCTTCTTAGCTACCCTGAGCAGATTCTAACTATGAATAACAAAAAAGTTGTCTCTCTATGCTATGATTCTTATTAGCAGGCCAAACTCTACACAAAGCACATCTGTCAGAAAGGGGAAAAGTGTATACAGCAAACATTTTTTAAAAAGTATTTTCTCCAAAGCAGATAAGTGATGTTACTAGTAAAATTTTCACTCATAAAAACTGTAACCCAAAAGAAAGTGACGCTCACTTGTCTGTCAGATGGTGGTAGCTCTCTCCAAGCATGTGCTAGTTTTTTTGTTATGTCCAAAATACTTATATCTGAAAAACAAAAAAGGTTTAGTTACAAACATGAATGTTCTGCTAAATTTAATGTTAAGGTGTATTTTTCTAGGTATTCACAAAGCAAATCACTTCATTGTTCATAAAGACAGACACAGTTCTGACTGGGTTACTGAAAGGTGTAATGCAACTGCTCCAAACAGACAATTTTGAGTCAGAACATGACCTTAGCAAGACTTTCCTTGTCCCACAGTACCTGAGACAATAGATAATTCAAAACAGAAATGGAATTTTTCCGCCCTGACCTGGATAGCCCAGGCAAGCCTGATCTTGTCAGATGTCGGAAGCTAAGCAGAGTTGACTCTGGCAAGTACTTGGATGGGAAGACCTCCAAGGAATAACAGCAGTGGGGAGGACAGGGGCAGACTTTATTCAGCCACCTTATTGAATATCCTCCAGGCCCCCAGTAGGGGTAAGTCACCAGAGGTCGCTATGACTTCCAGGTGCACAGACATGCAATTTCTTTTTTAAAAAGAAATGGAATTTTTCCAATTAAGAATTATACTCCTTATCCATATTCTCAAAAATATTTGTATATAGTTCAGTTCTAATTCAAAGAAAGATGTTTCCAGCTTCCAGTGGCAAATCAAGACTAAGTGAGAATTTAAGGTCAGAACTTCTGCAGAGGGCTCCCTCTGAAACATTCCCCTCTGGTGCAATATTTTGCCCACAACTGAAAAGGCGAAATACGTTTAACTACATGTGCTCATGTTGCTTCCTTTCTTTACCTCTGTAGGTTCACCCCACTCCTGAAATTTTTCATATGCACCTCAGGGATCTTCCTTTTCACATGTTACTCTGTACAACACCATGTACATTGATGGCACTGTACGGATAACAAAATTGCCAATTTTGAGAACATCTCAAAATCCGTTCGTTTCCCCCCACTGATATCCTAAATGCAGAAAGACATAGTGTCTCAGTTTTTGTAGGATATTATCAAGGCAAACAGTTCCATTATTTTGTACTTAGTTAATTCATTTAGCACAGGACAACCAGAATTATTTCTCTTGATTTTTATGGTCAAGTTGGTGACCCAAAGACAAAATGCGTGTAACTGCTTCATGAAACATCGCTGAAGCAGAGGCCTGGGAGAATCCTGGCAAAAGTAAGGCATGAAAAAGAGTCAACAAGCTTTAAACATCTTTTGACATGCAAAGGGACACTCAATATTATTTATTTATTTATTGTATTTATACCCCGCCCATCCCGCAAGCAGGCTCAGGGCAGCTAACAAAACGGTACAATGTACCTGATTGGCATACATAAAACTTAAAAACTCTATAAAATCTCATAAACAAGTAATTTAGAACATAAGTTAGCAGTTAACAATAAAGTGCATACAGTACTACAAATACGTAAAACTATGGTTTTATTTAAGTCACATATTCTAGTAACTTACTTACCTGGATTTTGTTTCCTATAAATTGGTTGGTGGTCTTTACAAAAGCGTATGTAGGCTGTCAGAGGCAGCTTTGGACGGTTATCTGAACTAATACATTTCGAGAACCACTTCTCCACCAAGCAGTTATGACTATATCTTAATAAAAGCAAAATTATTTGTATTAACACATTAATATCTAACAAACTTTCCAAAAAGGACAATTTATATTATAGAGGACAAAAAGAACATTTTCTGAATTACAATGGGACAAGTAATAATTACAACACCACTGTATACACAAGGACAACCAATAAATACCAATCTCAGCCATTTTGCCCCAGTCCTATGAGATCACCAACAGTTCATCTTGCACCAGAACTTCTCCCCAGTTCAGCACTAGACCAGAAGCAGAGAAGAATCACAAAAATATTTGGTGCATGAGTACCTGTGTCAGCATCATACTTGGACTGCGGCAGGCACTCCTGCTGCACCCTGGGGCCATCATTCCACTCCGTGGCCTGTCATCCCAGTCCCTGATCACTCCTGCTCCACCCTGGGGCCGTCATTCCACTCCGTGGCCTGTCAACCCAGTGCCTGAACACTCCCGCTCCACCCTGGGGCTGTCATTCCACTCAGTGGCCTGTCATCCCAGTTCCTGAACACATCTGTTCCTCTCAGGGGCTGTCATTGCACTCCATGGTCTCTCATTCCATCCTCAGAGTAGTGTGTTTGGGCCCAAAGAGCCTAATGGAAAATCCATTCCGCATTTTTATTGCAACTCTACTTGTACCCTAATGTTTTCCAAAGGAGCTCATGCAAGTCTATTGGCATTTCTGGCTCCCATTATTTCCAATGGGTCTTCCAGCGTCTCCCATTGTTTCCAATGGGCAATCCTGTCCTTCCTTTTAGTACATCCCTCCCGCTGTTCTTCCAAGGAACTCAGAGCAGAATGGCCTGTCATTCCACTCTGTGGCCTGTTATCCATGTGCCTGAACACTCCTTCTCCACCCTTAGGCTGTCATTCCACTCTTGGCCCTGTCATCCCAGTCCCTGAACACTCCTGGTACACCCTGGGGCTGTCACTCCACTCCGTGGCCTGTCATCCCCGTTCCAGAACACTCCTGGTACACCTTGGGGCTGTCATTCCACTCCGTGGTCTGTCATCCCAGTCCTTGATCACTCCTGCTCCACCCTGGGGCCGTCATTCCACTCCGTGGCCTGTCATCCCATTTCCAGAACACTCCTGGTACACCCTGGGGCTTTCATTCCACTCCGTGGCCTGTCAACCCAGTGCTTGAACACTCCTGCTGCACCCTGGGGCCATCATTCCACTCCGTGGCCTGTCATCCCAGTCCCTGATCACTCCTGCTCCACCCTGGGGCCGTCATTCCACTCCGTGGCCTGTCAACCCAGTGCCTGAACACTCCCGCTCCACCCTGGGGCTGTCATTCCACTCAGTGGCCTGTCATCCCAGTTCCTGAACACATCTGTTCCTCTCAGGGGCTGTCATTGCACTCCATGGTCTCTCATTCCATCCTCAGAGTAGTGTGTTTGGGCCCAAAGAGCCTAATGGAAAATCCATTCCGCATTTTTATTGCAACTCTACTTGTACCCTAATGTTTTCCAAAGGAGCTCATGCAAGTCTATTGGCATTTCTGGCTCCCATTATTTCCAATGGGTCTTCCAGCGTCTCCCATTGTTTCCAATGGGCAATCCTGTCCTTCCTTTTAGTACATCCCCAGCGGGATTTAAAAAAAATGCATAGCTGATACACACAGAAGTACTGTTTTTGACCTTTAAAGGTCTAAATGTCTTGTGCTCAGAGAGTACCTTAAAGGTCTGTCTCCACCTGTAGTGTTTAATGCTGGATGTATGCACAAGGGGGAGTTCTTAAGGAACCAGCCTTAATTGAACTTCAGCTTGCTGGGATCTGATACAGGGCCTTTTTCATTGCTGCTCCCCAACTGCAGAAACTCCTTCCCCAGGAATCAGAAAGAACCACATACCTAACTGCCAGACTGGTTTAAGGACCTACCAGAGGGCCTTTGTTTTAGACTGCAGAACTACTATGGTGGAAAGCAGTTTCTCTCACATATTACAAATTGTTACAATTCACTTCTAATATTAAAATTTCAAATTGTACTCGGAATTGCCTTGATGTAGTTAAAAAGTATTAAATAAAACAAAAAAATTTTCCATCAGTCCTAGGGCTACCAGATGTTGTTTCAAAGGTTAGCGGCTTATTCCAGATCACCATAGGACTACAATATATAGACTAAATTACTTATTTTGGGGAAGTTTTACATTGACAGTTCTATTAAAAATGCTCTAGACAGTCACAACAAGTTGTTATGAGAGGGATGGGTGGAGGATTCTTTTAATAAAAACAAAAGATGTTCAAAATAGACTAGGTAAGATAAAAAAGCCGGTATTAACTATATGCGAAAACCTATTGGCATGTTCTATTTTTGTAGAACGCTGGTACAATTAGTAAAATACCAGCACTTAATCTAGTTACATTACTTAAGGTTTCTTTGGGCCATCCAATGGCTGGTAGAGGGTGATTAGGAGGGGATACACAATTCTTTCAACAGAGGTCTATTATTCAGAAATTCAGAGGAGAGCTAGGAAGAAAGTGGCCATAGAGCTACCCGTCTGTCACCCATGAAGCTCACTGTATGAACTGGGGCCAGCCGATCTTATTCTACCTATTAAATGCTTTTGTAAGGATAAAACAGAAGGCTAATGAAAGGACTCATAGACACTTCCATAGAGTGGGGGAAATGCATAACAGAAAGAAGAGATATTTCAACTGATCTCTCTTAAGTGGCAAATCAATACATAATTTCTATTGTATTTATTCTTGCCTACATAGTACAGAACCTTGCCTCCTGCAATAGAAATTCTTTACAAAAAGGACAGTTAAGTGTAAAAAACCTAAAAGAACACATGAATCAAGCTCATATTTTGAGCTACAGAATACCTTACACTAGAATGGAGAACATCTGCCCTCCTCAAAAGTCCATATTTTACCTCATTAAAACCACCCATATTAGGTAGGTTGAAGTAGCTGTTTTAGTCCAAAGAAAAATACCACAACAAAATCCATCTAATGCCACTTATTGAGGCCAACCAGCGTCACCAGTCACCTGGGGCAATGCGTGTCAAAACAGGTTAAAGCCTAAAAATACATGGCGATATTTTAAAAGCGGTTTCAGTGCTTTACTTATTTGCTGATGTCAATGCATAATTACCTATTTTATTCCTCCAAAATAGATTTATTATGCCAGTATTGTCACCTATTTCTCTGTTACACCTCACATATATGGATACCAGGATCTGAAGAACAGAGGGATGACAGGGAGTGACAAACTTAAAATGGGGAGAAACATGCCCTGTAGAAAATAGAGTATTCCCTTTCTCTGGTTTAATACCCAAGAAGAGGTTCAAATCCTGAAATGGTGGGCAGGGTAGTCAGACCATGGAACTTGGCATCTCTAAATTAATATACAGAGAGCAGTAAACATCCACTTTAAAATGAAGAGGACATAACATAAACAGTAGAATGCTTAAAGTGGTTATTGTCTACTGGAGTCCACTTCTTCAGATGCTATGAATACAAACTCGGCAGGCAATCATCTAATATATGTGGTGTGGGGGATATGGGGAAAATGTAATACCAATAAGAGATATCCCAGTTGCATTAATCTGAATGGGGGAGAAACGGATCTGGACTGTATTAGCCTGTTGTTGTTTTTTAAACCTACAAAGGGACAGCCTAGTTCGAACCCACTCATCGCATCCGAAGAAGGGTGCTGTAGTCCATGAAAGCTTATTATTAGATTTATTTCATTTATATGTTGCCTTTCCAACCTAGAACATAACGGTTTGCGTTTTCAAAGTGCCACAAGACCCCTGCTTATTTTTAGGGCTCAGGGATCTTGGCGGCGATCACACACACTACACAATCCACTTTCCAACTGGATTTTACAGTGCCAACTGACTAAATCCAGTTGGAAAGTGCATTGTCCTATCGCTCGCTAGCCACAGCGCCCCAGACAGAGAACCAAGAAGCATTAAGCCTTCCCCTCCACAGAACAAACAAGGAGATGGGGAAGAAAAAAGGGAAAGGGAAACCGGGGCATCTTTAAAAAACGAAAGGGAAAAGTAGGAGGAAAGGATAAACTCTCCCAACGGGACTTCGATGCGTCGGCATTTTTGTTTTTACCTGAGAAGGTAACGCGGCCCGGACACACTCGGTAAAACACGGGCTAGCAGCGCGGCCGCCATAGCACGGTGCGTCCCGGGGCCCCTCACAACCACCCACTGCTCACAGATCGCTGCTTCTTGCGCCTCAGAACAGCCACCGGCGCGCGCCACAAGCGCGGGGCATTGTGGGGCACCGAAACGATCCAACGCGCCTCCGACCACGCACTACCTCGCAACCGCAGGTAGAGTCAGAAAGACCCGAGGTGCGCATGACCGCGCCCGCCGTTAAATACAGTCACGACTTCCGGTTTCAATTTTTTTGTTTTACTGCCGCCATGTGCGGGGCAGGAAATCTAGAATGTGGGTGGAACTACTCTACTGTCCTTCATCTCTATGGACCCACACGGGATCTCCTTTATGTTCGGATTTGTTGCCCTTCCCACTCAGTTCAAAAGCGCACGTGTCATCAAGTCACGCTGAGAGGGTGGCGGATCGAAGACAGGTTAACGAAGGCGGTAGGGGACAGTCTTCCCAGACGCCAAGATTTCCTGTTTGAAACCACGCTCCCGTTCCTATAGCGGGGGGGGGGACGGACACATGGGCGGTTAGCGTCACAAGGACGGTGGACGGAGACAGGTGCCCGGGCTCATCACTTGCCCCGCCCTCCCTTGTCTTTGTCTGGTGAACGGGAACAGCGTGCGCGAAGGCTGTGACGCATGCGCACTGGAGGAGAGCGGTAGGGAGGGAAATTCGTCGTTCTTCTAGCAGTAAGAACCGCGGAAGATTGAAGCCCGGCTGGCCGAAGGACTAAGCTTTGATACTGTGTGGTTTACATAGGTACGCACGTTTAGTAAGTCCTCTCCTCCAAATTTCCCTTTTCCACCGCTCTCTAGACTCCGTGACTTTCTCGTATCTATTATGCAACCTACGGAAATTCTAAAAACAAAAGTCTCCGTTAACTGGGTACTTTGCGCTCGCCCTGTATCACAAAAAATAAAACAAGAGTCCGGTAGCACCCTAAAAGACTTAAGTTTTATTCTAGCTTAAGCTTTTCGGAGTCAGAAAGGATCATAATAAGATGGGGGGGGAAGTAAAAGCCGGATCAAAATGGATTCTTTTGGATTCTCTAGGTTTTTTTCCACCAAACTCCTCCAAGGTAAAGGTTTCCCTTGCTTGAAAGCCAGTCGAATCCAACTCTAGGGATGCGGTGGTCATATCAGTTTCCAAGCTGAAGAGCCAGCGCTGTCCAAAATCATTTCCGTGGTCATGTGGCCGGCATGACTAGACGCTGAGGTGCACGGAATGCTGTTACTTTCCCGCCGAAGCGGTGCCTATTTATCTACTTGCAATTTCTTGCTTTCGAACTGCTAGGTTGGCAGGAGCTGGAACCAGAGATGGGAGCTCACTCTGTCATGCGGCACTCGGGTCTGAACTGCTGAACTACTGGCCTTCCAATCTGCAGTTCAGCGTTTTAAAGCCAGGACCACAAAAACATGGATATGAGGCATGGATTCATATGAGTTCTACACTGAAACAAAACCACTTTTCATATTGTAGATCATGTCTTAGTCTATAGTCAGCACCACAAAGATCATGTATCCACCAATTTGTAGTGCCATGATGGCACAAAAGTGTAGTTCTAAAGCACAGATCCTCATGGATTTTTGTCAGGTCACCCCAACCTCACCATCAAATCACATATCATGTGCACAGCCACATATTACACCAGAAAAATCATGCATCCACTGCTTTGTGGGGCCACCAAGGTGCAAAAGTGTGGTTCCACAGCACAGATCCCAAATGGATCCTCAGGATTTTTACAGTGAGTTGCCTCAGACTCACTATTCAATCACACATCATGCTCATGGCCACAGACTGCATGACGAAAATCATGTACCCACCACTTTGGCACCACCATGGTTCGAAAAGATGGTTTCAAAGCACGGATCCTCATGAATTCATATGATTTTTCTGTGGGTCAGTCAGTCAGTTTATTACGGTCATCAACCAGTACATATCAATTTGAAAGACAAATAGAAAAATTCCTGGCAGTATTTTGGCTGGTTATGAGCCAGAAAAAAAGCCTTTGTAACATAAAAGCTTATAAATTATATAGAATATAAAGGAAATAAGTAAAAATACTGTTCAAACCTTTTAAACAATTTTAGTTAAAAAGGTAGAGATATGGTTTATTTGCCCCGCTTTTTACTTTCCTTATATACCTGGGCGCAGAACCTAGCCACCTGTCTTGATGTATGATGATTCCTATCTGACAACAAGTATTTTAATTTAATTTTGTTTGATCTTCCTGGGAACCTTTCCAGCAGCGGGCCAATGATTTCCTTTTGGCTTGCCGTATGGAAAGAGCAATTAAAAATATATATGCTCCAGAGAGTCTATTTCAGTCCAGGAACAAGTGCAGAGCCTGAGCGCGTAAGGGATCCCTTTGTACCGTTCCTCTATTACTGTGGACAGCAAGGCCATGTTCCTTGCTAGGGTGAAGGCCCTTCTGGTATTGTGAGATTCAAGAAAATATAAACAGGCCGCAGGTGGGTCCTTCTTCTGGTGTAATCTGTGGCCAAGGACACAATATGTGATTGAACAGTGAGTTTTGGGGTGACCCAACACAAAAATCATGAGGATCCATGCTTTGAAACTCAGTTTTTGCACGGATACATGATTTTTGTGGTGCAAGCTGTGGCTATGGAAATATGTGACAGTGAGTTTGGGGTGATCCAATGCAAAACTCCTGAGGATCCATGAGGATCTGTGCCTAGGAACCATGTTTTTGCACTGTGGCAGTGATCTGAAGCAGTGGGTGTGAATTTTCTGGTGTAATCTGTGGTTATGTACATGATATGTGATTTGATGCTGACTTTGGTATGACGCAGTGCAAAACCCCTGAGGATCAATGCTTCAGAACCACATTTGTGTTGTGGTGGTGGCACATAGCAGTGGATCCATGATTTTTGTGGTGCAGGTTGTGGCCATGGAAATGACTGGTGAGTTTGGGGAGCCACAACACAAGAATCCTTAAGATACATGAGGATTTGTGCTTCGGAACCATGTTTTTGTGCTGTGCCGGTAGGCTTGCCAGACCACCTGGTTTGGCAGGGGTTGCCCGGTTTGGCGGGTGGAAGCCCCACCCCCAAGAGCAACCACCCAGTTTCCTCCCCACCTCTTCCCAACAGAGTTTAAAGACATTCGCTGGGGAAAGGTGGGGGCCGCGCGCCTGCACTCTGAGCCCTGAATTTGGGGCTCAGAGGGCAGGTGCGCATGGCCTCCCTCCCACCTCTCCCCAGCGGCATTTAAAGGAAGTCTTTAACTGCTGCTGGGGAGAGGTGAAGGCTGCGCACCTGCATGCCGAGCCCCAAATTTGGGGCTCAGAGTCACCACCCCCTGTATTGAAGGCCTGAACACCAGGCTCTGACGTCACTGCCATGGCTACGAAAGTAGTCATAACAATCTCCCTGTGCTTATGTGGGGCTAAGCAGAGGGCTGCTGTTTGGTGTAATGATTTCAGATGGAGTGTTGAAGACTTCAGTGGAAGGAGACTACTGTTGGCTGTAGGCGTGAGAGCATTTGTTTGCATTTTTATGGCCCATCTTCCTGTATCTTTGTCTCTTTGTTCTGACTGGGAAAGGGGGCGGTGGAAGAAGCCGACCATTCTGCCATTTCAGTTTAGCAGTGTGGATGTAGAGGTTTGTCTGCTAACAAATAAATAAGAATAAGAATCCCAACAGTTTCTGTCCTTCAGATCTGGATTAAATATGCCTTTTCGCTGAAAACGACTATCTCTTTCTTTCTCCCGGACTGGTTTTCTCATCGCAAAAACGAGGGAGGATTTCTGGACTTGGTTTTGGGGGTTTTTTTGTTTTGTTTTTCCAAAGTGGCCGTCTGGGAAGGAAGACCAGGGGATGTTGTTGGGGTTTTTTTTGTTTTTTGTTTACACAGTTTTCGTCTGTATTTTCACAGAAGAAAGAGGTGAGTCGATTCCCCGACGCTTCCCTTCCCCCCATCTTTGCAATAGAGAGACGCTGGGGAGGTGGAGGCTGGGGGAGGGGAAGCAGTTGCTGCTGAAATGGGGC